GTGAAGAGTTCTTAGAAGATAAGGATCTGGCAGCTGTATGTACCTCTGGAATGTGAGTTACTGAATTTCTTCAAAGAAATATTGGCTAGAATTCAGAAAATCCTGTCTGTGTATATGCAATACTTCCATCTGGGCAGGTATGGGGAGAAAGATTGCTGTGATTTTCTTTTCCCCTTCTCCTGACTGTGTGTGGTACTCTGCATCTCTGCAAGTTTTGTGATGGGTATGTTCGGGGCTGAGACCCAGTTGGGATGTTCAAATCCTTATCAGCAATCATAGCTGTGGTCTTTGCTAACTGGAGACCTGACAACTCCCCATGCTGACTTTTGCACACCCAAGACAACAGGAACTTAAACAGGTGCTTGTCTAGCCAAACTGCAGCCCTACTTGGGCCATATCAATAGCTACAAGTGTAACCCAATTTCTAATTTATTTGTAAAATTTATCTAACCACCTGAAACCACTCAGATTCTAGGTGGCTTACATAATTTAAGAAGTTACAAATCCAAAATTAAATTATGATTAGGCTGGTTATGTGCCATTAAGTTAGTGTCAACTCTTAGCGACCACATAGATTAGATTTTCTCCATGATGATCTGCCCCTAACCTGGTCCTTCAGATCTTCCAACAGTGATTAAACTACAGCACTAAAAATGATAAAATTGAGATGTGGTGGTGTCAAGAAATTGAGCTCTGCCCTTGAGGAGGAAGTGAGAGAGATGAAACAGTAGCTCAGTCCTGGTAAAGCAGAAAGTGTAAAAAAGAGACTCAGAATAGCCCTGCCTTGATCTTGTTGTCTTTAGAAAAGGACACTGAAGGTTCTGGACAGGCTTTCAAAATTCTTTTAATATACCCTACAACAATAAAGTAGCATTCCCGGGATCTCTGTGGTGCTTGTTTCTTGATTTGGCCTTCCTCAAAGGGCTGACAGGCATCATGATATGTTAGTTCCCCCCAAAGATCCTCTGGAAGAGCCATGTTTCCATCAGCTTCTGGAAGGCCATGAGGACAGGGACCGTACCGTATGTGCTTCAAGGGGCAACCTTTTCCAGAGAAGAGGGCCTACTATAGAGAATGCATGCCACTGGGCCCTTCTTGCCATTCCTCCTAGTAGAGGGGACCATCAGCAGGTGCTCCCCAGTTGTTTGGGTAGGACAGGAGAAAACTGTTGGGGAAAGGTGGTCTCCAGGATATTAAGGACCCAGAGCCATTAGCCTGGAATCAGTCTAATTGCACTTCTTAAAATGACCAATTTTTTCTCCCCAATCACTTCTCTGCTTTCTGAATGCAATGCCCAAAGATCCTTTTGAAAAGCCAAGAATCTTAAAATCCATTTACATCTATGTCAGCTGAGTGCAGTATAATGTACAGAACACCATGTTTCAGCAGTAACTAATTACCAGAAAAAGGGATTTCCTTAATGAGTGATAATTAAAGGCTGACAAATATCTGCATAAGGGCTATATTTAGTTAAGTTGCTAGCTAGTTACCCAGGACACCTCACCTTCTTTTCATTCACTGATCTCCACATAATGGATATTGTACAAGGCTTGTAAATGTAATATTTCCTTTGAGTTGTGCTTGATTCCAGTGACTTCATCAACATGTCCAGGCCATTTTCTTGGCAATAAAAATGGAAGGACAGAGAAGAAACCCAGTTCAGAAGCCCAAAAGGGGTGGGGGTGGGAATTAGACATCAAGGAGCTAGAAAGTGAGCAGCATTTCTAGAGCCAGCTGCAGAAAATAACCAAAAAGTCACTGGAACATCCCTTCCATTGCTAATGGCTTAACTAAAAAACTGCCTTATGATGCACAGAAAAGACAGGCTTCCTCTATCTGCTCGGGGTATATCTGGTGACCCGAGAACATGGTGTAGAGTTGCTAGTGTGAAAAGGCTTTTGTGGAGGAGGACTTAAGACTTCTGTGCAAGTGTGTGTGTCTTACAATGTGCAAACAGTACCATGATGTTCTCAAGGCTAGCCTGATCACCAACCCATCTCATACACTAAACTCTGGGCAGCAGATTCTGGATCCTCGGGCTTGAATTCCTTGGACTGACACTAGAGGAAGAGGTCAGTTGGACATGCTTGGACCTAGGTTGCTAAAAATGACTCTTTGGTGGGGGCATCATTTTATCCAAGACACACAGAGTTCTGTCTCTGCTGTATAGCTAAAGGAGGACAACCAGACTTGGATGAAAACTGAGGGGACCTTTGTTGACACTACCACAATCTCCAGTTAATTAAGATGGTGTCCAGTTATGAGTGACCTTCACTCCACCAAATAACTATTGACCTCAAGGAGATAGGGAGTGCCAATGACCATACACCCCTTTGCCTCTCAAAGCCACAATGGAACCTCAGCATTAGAAAGCACTTCCCATCTTAAGTTCTACCTGGAAGACTTACAGTGGATCTTCTCTAGTTTCAACACATCCCATCTTGTTCCATTAACAACAAGCAAACGCATGACTGCTACTACAGACCATTCCTTGTCCCACTGCTCTGACCATACAGTACTCTCTTCCGTCTTTATATCGCTTACTCCAGAGACCTCTTTAGATCCTCTTTTCATTTTCCTCTTCATACACTACCGCTTTGCCAGCCATACACCTCAATCAATCTTCTTACTAAATTGTCCAACTGACACCTACACATGTTTCCTGCCATTCCATTCATTTTTTGGGGAGGAAAATTGGTAACAGGCCCACTTCGTACATCAACCTCAAAATACCCGATCTGCACACATATGCTTTGAGGGAAAAACAAGATGCTTAATAGTGTGCTGTGTCTAGGAACTTTAGACTTTCACAACCATTTTAAAGCAGCGTTGTGATCTCAAAAGGGAGAACCGGCAGATAGGAAGTACATAGGTGTTTAATTCTTCTTCTACTCATGTTTCTACCATATTTTTCCTCTGAAAACTGGGAAACCAAGCATTTGGGATAGAAAGCAGGTGAGGGAAGAAAGCAAAGTGAAGGGGAGACACAGTTGTATGGGAGAAGTCAAACCACCCTTCCTTGCTATTTCTCTCCCCTGCCATGCTCAGCAGAAAACCGGGTTTCTAAATCTCAGTCTTCAGCCTGATGTTTGGTTTTAAGCAGAATATGTGAAAATCAGTGCTTGAATTTCATTTAATACTTAGTTGAAAAAAAAAGTAATCATTCTGGCTTCAGTAGACTCCATCTTTGATGTACTCCTCAGAAAATGCTAACTTTTCTTTTCTTAGATAATGTGTCAATTTGTTCTACCCTATCATTTTATACATGTAGATGTGGGAGTGTTATGGTATATGTCAACACTAAGAAAAATTTGGTGAAGTGGTTGAGTGTCATCTTCTATGTGAATTATGGAATTCTTGTTCTTAAATTGTATGATTTTGTTATGGGTTTAGGATGAATTAATAACATTATATTGTTAGTTTGTTCATACGCTGTGAGCTGTTGTGAATCTGCATGGAAACAAACAAGTGCATTGGAGAATGAATGTTGAAGTTCAGAAGATGTCCTCTTAATGTCTCATTCCATAATAGGAACTTTTAGCGTCAACTGCTTTCAAGAGGTCACAGCCAACGCCTGATGACATTTCAGATGAACAGGCATATTAACTACAACCATGATATTGATCACCCTTTGAAGTAAACAAAGATTTGTATTCTGGAAGTGTGCTTGGAAAATGCAGTCAACACAGCAGAGGAGCTAGCTTTTAATTGCAACTCCTGAGGTCTGTCTATAAATGTCTCATATGTCTAAGGGCCATTAAAAATTGGCCTGCAAAACTAATTTGCAAATTAATTAAAAATTCTACCTGCCTATATTAGTTGGTGTATTTCATTTTGATTAGGCATTCTGTGAACGCTGAAACGTGCAAGGGAAGCTTCAAGGTGTGTTTTGCAGCTTGCACAAAAACATCCCTACCAAGAACTATGGATTAACCATCAAATCACAGCCTGTTTTTAAAAATGTACATTAGGAAACCTAATGCCACTCTCAGGATGTAGCTGTCTTCCTTTGAGTATTGCTGACAGCTGAAGGTAAGGAGGAAATTAAAAGGAAGAACAGAGGAAAGAGATAAACCCAGACCAGTTGGGGACAAAAATGCACAGTCGAAAAAGACAGCGTGACGGGATGAAGATTTAATTGTTCATGGAATTTGGGGGGGGGTGTCCCTATGGCTTCTCCCATCTTTGTTCTTACTATAGAAAGCTCATCAGAGAAAACAGCAGCTTCACACAATCTTTGAATAGGTAGACCTCCAAGTCTTCAGTTTGGAGGCAACCTCACTGACCTCTGCAGAACAAGTGATCATAGGTACTAGATATTAATTGTTCTACTGTGTGTGGCAGTGTGTGAAATTACTCTGTATCCTGTGGACCTTTCAACAGACAAAACAATATTTTGCGCTATTGTAGCTCACATAAAAGGAAAGGTTAATATTACAAGTACATTGCCAATGGAAAGTCAGGGACTCTGTAGGTGAAAGCACTGAGTTTGGACCTATGAAAGACAGGGATTCAAATTCTTTAACCGCCAAACTTGTGTGCCAACCAAGAACAAACTCAATTTTCTTTGCTTCATTTGCTCATCGGTAAAAGGAGAATAATAGGGATCTGCCTTACAAAAACCAAGGTTTTGTATTACATTAAAAAAAATAGCAAGATGTAGTAATGGAACAGAGTAGATCTTGGTTACTGGCTTTGAACTGAATCCTGCATCCTTTAGCAAGAATTTCTACAAATTAAGCTGTTTCAATGCATTTACTTAGGTGAAAATCTTCAATTGTGTTGGAGGAATAAAGGAACAAGGGTGCAGGAAAAGTTAACTGGAATCTCAGGATGGTGGTTGTGGTGGGCGTAACAGATGAAAGAGCAAAACTAAGGGCTTGGAAAAGTTGTGGACATCCAAAGGCCGTACATGCAACAAGACAAATGCAAAATGTTTACCAGATGCAAGCAGCTGCAAAGCTGACCTTCAGAAGAGCTTGGAGGATCGCTGTGCCTACCTTTTTCCGATGTCGGTCATTCTTTGCAAGACACGATCTCTGCAGGGAGAGGTAGCCCCCGATCACCTGGATCTCCTCCACTGTGGGGTAGCGCTTCTTCATGGGCACTGTGGCTACTGGCGGAGTGCTCTCAATGCCATTCTCCACTGCCACGACAGATGACACTGGGGACTTCCGAGGATTGATAGTGATGGTGTTGCCACTGCGACGCTGCATTGCTGGATGGGGGGATGAGGCCCGGACCAAGCTTCCCATCCTGACATCCTCCTTAACTTTGCTGTTGCTGCTGCGTCTCATGGCCTCAGCCTCGGGCGGCTCCTCGGCATCCGGGAGAAGTTGTTCACAGCTGGGTGAAGAGCAGGAAGTGGGGACTGGGGGCTTGACTGAAGGAGGGGAAGGGCTGGCTTCCTGTTTGGGTTCTGGGGGAGGGGAGGCCGAAGCCCGCAGTGGCACAACCATAAAGGAGTTCCGGGAGTGGAGGCGCAGGTTGGCCAAGGCTTTGCCCTGGACATCGTCCTCAGCTGGGTGGGGTTCCACGGCTGCCTCCGAATCGCTGCTCTCTGCCCTGGGCCCTCTGTCTGGAGATGTAGCCTCCCTTCCCCATCTTCTTCCGGTTGGCGAGCGCCTCGGAGGACTCTCTGGCCAGCCCTCCCCACTGCCTGATTTAGCTTCAAACTGGCTTCGGTAAGATGCCACAGTGCAAGGCCCTGGAGATGTCAGCCCCGGAAGGTCACCGGGAGGGCCAGGGACGCTGTTGACACAGTGCGGCCGAGTTGGGCTGGGGTCTGCTGGAGAATGGGCTGGCTTCTTTCCTCCAAAGGTGCCTTCTGTTAAATTCTCAGTGCTGAGGGACTTCACCGGGGGTGACGGCACCACCCCTCCGCCGTCCTCCTGGCTGAACCGACTGAGCAGTTTGCTCACCCGCCCTCGGCGCTGCTCCGGCAGCGAGGCCCGGTGCTCAGCTCGGCCTACTGCATTGAGATCCTCCACGCTGCGGCTCAAAGCCGACTTGACGATGAAGACCTCACCTGCACGGATCTCGGTCACGCTGCCCCCACGGCGTGCCAACAGCTCGTTGAGGGACTCCATGCTGCCTGATTTGGCTTCTCCTGGGTGCCGGTCGCTAGCCAGCTGGGCTGGTGGCATCCCAGGGGCCGTTTCAATGATGATGACATTGTCTGCCCGCAGGGTGCGGACGCCTGGAATCTGCCCGCACAGATCCACTATTTGCTTGGCTTTGGCATTAGCGAGTTCACTTTCTGAAGGGACAGACTCCTGATGGCGACGCTTCTCCAGCTGAATGAAAGGGTTTTGGTGGACTGGGCCAATCTTCTCCTGCAGCACAGAACTCTCTGGCTCCCCCTCTTGATAGGATGACATTGCAGCAGGCACAGAGGCTGCCCCACTCTCAGTTTCTCCTGGTCCGCTTGGTTCAGAAAAAGAAGTGCTGGTGCCTTGTTTGGCCCGGCGTCGTTCAATGATCTCCCGTTTCCAAGCTGGCATCTTAGCCATGCGGTCTTGCTGTTCCTGTTCCCGCCGACGAGCCTCCTCTTCCTCCTTTCGCCGACGCTCCAGTAACTGGAGTTTCCATTCTGGCAGTGGTGGAGTTGAAGACATCTTTACTGGAGGAGTGAAGTAGCAGGAAACAGGAGGAAGATCTGGGAAAGAAAGAGGAGTGAGAAAAAAGAAAAGAAAAGATTGGGTGGGATGTTCAGGGGTTGAGAAGGGTGCAAAGTAAGGGAAAATGGGGGGGGGGGAGACGGTTGTGCGAGCAACTTAAAGACCATGAAAAGCAGCACAAACAGGAAAGAGATAAGGAAAAGGATGGAATAAAAGAAGAGGTGAAGAAAGAGAAAGAAGAGGAGCTGGAGCAGAGTGGGAAATGAGTAGAAAAGGGCCTAGAGAAATGGGCAGTGGTTGGAAAGGAGAAGAAAGACAATATTGGAGTAACAGAAAATGGAGGCTAAGAAATAGAAAATGATCAGAGGAAAATGGTAGGAAGAGACAGATGGGAGGTGAAATGAGGAAGGGCTGGGTTGGAAAAGGAGAAGGAAGGATGGGAAAGTAAGAGGAATAAATCCAAAAGAAAGAGAGCGGGAAGGCTTAGCTCAAAGGATCAGGAAGGGGAAGATGACCCGATTGAAGACATTGCAAAATTAAGTCCCTTCGGCTATTCAAGAAGGGTGAGAGAAAGAGATAAAAGCCCTCCTCTGGGCTCAACCTTTGATGTCCTCCTCCCCTCCTCCCTCTTTCCAACTCATGTCACACACACTGTCTCTCCTGTCTTGGGGAGGCCACCGTTCCACAGGGGGCTCTTTACACAAGGAACACGGGCATCCTTGCAAGGGAGCAGAGGAGAAGGTGATCAGCTTCCTTTACAAGGTCTGACCCCATCTTGGTGGCCAGCACAAGGGCAGTTAAAGAGTGGAGGGCCACGGAAAAGGGAAGAGGAACTAGAGGCGGTTTTTGAAAACTGCTTTCTTCAATGTGTTTTTTGTATTGCAATCAGCCTTCTAATCTAACCTTTCCTAATGGCTGTTAATAAAAAACCAAGGAGCATAGTTATGCCTGAGTAAGCAATCTAGATTAAAACAGCCTTGTGCAGTGATACAAAGAGGGAAGTGATATTACAAGGGAATGACAATGGGGCAGGTTTATTTACAGTGCAGTTTTATGCCATCAGCTCACAAATAAGCAGGCAATGGGAGTTACTCGCAGGCAAGCGTGTGTAGGATTGCAGCAGGAGTACAGAGGAAGCCTTTCCACCCAGGAGAGGGAACCTGATTGCAAACAGCAGTTATCCGGGAGGAATAAAGTGAATTTCACTCAGTATGGTCTGTTTAAGCACCATTGGCACTTCAGACACAAAAGTTTGCACAGAGCCCTAGAGGGCTAGGGGACAGGTCTTTAATCTGAAACTAGACTGGGAGGTGGTTTCAAGAGTCATAAAGAACTTGTGACTAAGTTGGCAGAAGATTTAGATGTATTTACAAGAAATGTAACAGCAGTGCTAAATGTTAGGATTTTCAGAAACAAGTTAGGGTAACACTGAATGTGTTAAGAGAGATTCTGGGTGGGCCCAAAGGAACCCCAAAAGCTGGACAGGAAGGGGCTTGTGAGAGGAAGGTCAGCAAGATAAATATAACTCAAAATTACCAGAATCCGAGCTTCAGAATTTCAGATAATTCCAGCAGTTCAAAAGCCTACAAAAACAACTGGGATGGAAAAGTTGGCAACACTAGTGGGTTCTGGTACCACAATCCAACTTTTACGTTTTGGACTAAGTTAAAAGCCGAGACATCCAACCAGAGAATGGGGCAGATCACTGTACACTTAGAATCTAGGAGCCCAAAAGAATAACGCTCGCTGCTTGGTAATTTTCCCTCAAAAAGAATTCCGTACATCCAGAGATTTCCAAGAACTGAAATGCCCAAGAATTTGGAAAAGAAGCCTTAAAATAATCTTTTTACAACGGTGGTGTGTCCCGCAATTCCCAGCTATCCAAAAGCGATCCAGAATAAGAAAAAAAATCTTTGATGAGCAGGGGACGTGCTCTTCCCGAGAATTAAGACTGAACGGATATGTATGTGAGAAAGGGAGCCACGCGTGTACATCCAGGCGACGGAGATCCAAAGACCCTTTCTTTCCCTCCACTTCCCGCCTCTCACGGAATGCTTCACGGATCCAGAGGAACCCAGAAGGAATCTGGAGGCTGAGCAGATGGCGACCAGGAGGATTGCCACACCATCTAAGAGGAGCCCCAGTTGAAGCCACGGCTTCTCGATCCCTCCGGTCCGCCAGGAATTCCCTGATCCTTCGAATCAGGAAGCAAAGCAATGGATCCCTGTACGTACGCTTTCAAGCCAGCTGGATCTTGGAAGCCCGAGGCAGGCGAGAAACTAGATCCTTCGCTTGGTCCATGGCTGGGGGAAGCTCGCCTGGCTCCAGCCGGTCCCGGTGGCCCGGAATGGAGGGGATTTTTCAGCCGCCTCGCTTTTTTCTCTTCCCTTTTTTTTTTCCCCAAGCCGAGGGAGGGATCTGCGCGGATCTGAGTCAGGGTTCTCGCTGGAGGTGAAGGGCTGGGGCGTTCAGATCCTCCTTCTTCTTTCCAAAAAAACGCGTTCACGACCGAAGCGCCGGCACACGAGCGGAGGAGCGGGCGATGGGGCGGGGGAAATCTCTCTCGGGCTCTGGACGCAGCCCCTTCTAATCCCCTGCCGCCGAGCTCCACGCCACCCGGCTGCTCAAATCCTTTAAGAGGAGAAGGAAGACGGGAGAGAAAGAGAGAGGGGGAGAGAAGGGAGGAACGGGGGAGAATGTGAAGGGGAGGCAAGATTGAAAGAGGAGGGAGGACGGCGCAAAGATGTGAAGAAAGAGGAAAGGGGAGGGTGGGGGTCTTTGTGTATAAACAGAAGGGGAGGACAATGAAAAGGGGCGGGGCGGGGCGGGCAGCAGACAAATGAGGCGGGGGGGCTGGCTGGCGGGCGATGAAGACAGGAAGGGAGGAGTTGGTCTGTCGCAAATGTTTCATTTGAGATATTCCCTATTTCAGGGCTCTACGGTTCTGGACCACAGGAGGCCACTGTAGACCGACGAGGAGATTCTGCCCCGTAGAATCAGACGGGCCTTCTCTAATCCGTAATAGCCGATTACTGACACTTTCTGCACCTCCACGCACGGAACGGAACGCATTGAGCCTTCCAATCCCACCACCGTAGCTCTCCCTGAACCCTTTACACAGCCCTTTGCAGAAACTTGTGCTCTCCACAGTTCATGTGTGTTGGCTTGCATCATCCCAGCCACTGTGGGCTGTGGTGGGAGTTGTAGTCCAACACATCTGGAAAGGATCAGGTTGGAGGAGTCTAGCATTTCACATGTTATATTTCCTCTGAGGAGTCAGCACCCTTACTAGTGCTGAACAGTAAATACCAAGAACTCTGGGTACTTTGTAAAATTCATAACATCATGCAGAATTCTTCTTTCACACCTTCAAGCAGAAAAGCTGTCCCTTCTCCCCTCACCTCTGATGGTCAAACTAGAGGCTTTAAATACGTATTCCATATTTAAATATTAAATCAATAGTAAAATCAAACATCCAGGGTTTTTACAGTGTGATCCATGGACACTGCTATCAGCTGTGAATACATGCTGGATTTTGAATATCAGGCAAGCCATCCAGAGGCAGCATTCCTCCAATCCATTTTTTTTTTGGATCCTAATGTTGCCACCCCTGGTGTTGCCACACACCACAGCCATGGTTTTCTTGGTGCAGTCCATCAGCGTGACTGAGAGCCGATGAGGACCCAACTTTCATAGATGTCCTAAGAATCTAGGAAGATTGTTTAGAACTTAAGTACAGTTAAGCCCAGGGTTCTTTCTGAAGATACTGGCCAAAAAAACCTTGTGGGTCCCAGCCTGGTCATGGAGGAGCTAGCTTGGGCTAGCTTGTCTTGACTTCTGTAAAAGGCAGGTAGGAGATGGTACCCACAACCAAGATGGCATTCCACTTTCCTTCTTGACAGCATATCATCTTCTCCAGTTGACAGAGGTGTCTTGGGAAGCCTATCTGACTGAATAGTTGTACATGGATGTACAGTTTGTGACCAAAAACAAATATTTTTATAACAAGAACATATGGACAGCTCTGCTGAATCAGGCCGTCAGCATTCTGTGTGATGTTGTGGCCAACTATATATTTGGGAAGCTCTCAAGCCAGGACTGGAGGGTGATACAGTATATTCCTTCTATGGTCACTTCCCAGCAACTAATATTAAAGGAGGCAGGGAACAGCCAACTGATCTTCCATGAACCAGTCCAGTCCCCTTTTAAAACCATTGCTACTGGCTGTCCTTTCCATAGTGTGGGGGAGAATTCTGCAGTCTGCATCTCCCTGCATTGAACTTCAGCCTGTGATTTTGAATATGATGAGAAAGAGAGAAAAAATGCCTCTCTGCCCCTTTTTTGCAGCTTTTCTATCTCTCTAATATTCTTTTTAAGGTGTGATGGCAGGAGCTATATGCAATACCCCAATGGCAGTCTCACCATAGATTTATAAAAGGCCTAATTATACTTGAAGTTCTGTTTTGAACTGTGCTCCTAATGATTCCAAGCATGGGGAGAGAGAGAGAGAGAGATACACACACACATATATTAGTGGCACACTGGATTCACACTATGGATATTGGTGTTACAGTGACACCAACATTTTTCCCCAGTTCAGATTCTTCTAATGTAACATTTGGAATGTTTATTCCAACTTGCTTCACTTTACATATGGTTACTCTGATCTATTTTTGCCATTTTGAAGTCTGAAAGATGCTTTTGGAACTTTTCACTATCCCTTTTTGATTTAACCGCTCTGAACAGCTGCCATCATTCACCGATATGGCCCCTTCAGTGCTCAGCCCCAATTCAAATCATGCATCTACAAGTTGAAAAGTCTCCGTCCCGACTCAAATTCCTGAGGAATTCCACTGAGAATTTCACTTTTATTCCTACTCTATTTCTGGTGTTAAACAGTCCAGAAGATCATCCATCCTCTTATTCCATGGCAGTTGAGTTTGATGAGGAATTTAGTCAAAGGCTTTTTGGAAGTGAATAAGAGCTGTTGGGTCACCCTTGTCTACACACTTGCTGACAATCTCAAAAAGTCTAGAAGTTGGGAGTCCAAACGTACTTGTGCAGAAGCCATGTTGGTTCCTTTCCAGCAAAACTGTTTTAGGATTTCCTTATTTTTTCTTCCATAATATTTTCAGCCATTTTCCCAGGAGCTGTTGTTACCCAAAGTCGTCCAGAGTTTCTTGTAATGTCACTTAGTCTTAAAAAAACAAACAAACAAACCATGGAGTCACAGAGGCTATTTTCCAGTCCCTGGAAACAGATTGCCGTGTTAGAGAGGTTGCATATTTTTGTGAAAAGAACAGCAATTTCATATGATAGTTCTTCAAAAATTCTTCAGAGGATGTTATCTGGCCTCAGAGAATTTGTTTCTGGTTTGTCAGTTTGGCTTATGACTTCATATTTTGTTACTTTGATTGGTCTCCATTTGTCTAGTCTTCCTCCTGAAGAAGTCAGCTCAGGTGAAGATCCCTATGTTGTGCCCTCCACAGTGAAGACGGAAGCAAAAAGCTTACTCACTTTCTGTACCACTTCTCTATCCTCCTCTAATGCACCTTTAACAACTCCATTATCCAATGGTCCAATCGTTGGTTTCCTATTCCAAATATATTTTAAAATCTTTGTGGTTGATCATCTTAATGTCCTTTGCCATGTGCTCCTCAAAAATTCTGATCAACATCCTTGATCAATTGCTTGCATATATTTTGTGAGAGTTTAACTTAGATTAGCATTACATTACATTAACTTACATTTACATTACATTAGATATTTTTCAATTGGAAACCTGGCCTCAAACATAGGCAATACTGTAAAAATAGAAATCCGTACACTCTAGTTTGAGCTTACTGGCTGTATTCACCTAACATTTTAAACTTAGTTTTTGAATTAAACCATTTCTGAGTTCTTAAAAAACATTGAATCATAAGCTAACCAAACAAGCAGGGTTCATACAAAATGCTAAACCACAGAAAGCTAACCAAGGTTAAAACTAAGAGTCTTAAGTGATCTAGTTAAGTATGTTGTGCAAACATACAATTGAGAACTCAGATTTTTGGTACACCAAAACATCTGTAGATGACAGAAAGTAGAGGTTTGATCTTATCTCTTACCTTAATTTTGGGCTTTTAAGAAAAGGATTGACGGCCAGAAAAAAATAACTTTATGAAATCCTGTTGGTTAAGTGTCAAGCATTTCTCGGGGACATAGAGACAACTAATTTTATGGCCAAGTGGAAGATGAAGAGAAGATGGGAGCAGGATTGTGAGAATTAACATTTTGCTCTGAGTTCTGCAGCCTGTGAGATGATCATCAACAAAATTGTGATGTGTATTTTTGGGATGGTTTGAATAATGGAGATGATCCATATTGGGCTTCCCTATTTTGTATCCCTTCATGTGGAAGTCTCGATACTGCAGATTCCAGAATTCTCACTCATCTTCTGAGGACATTGTAGGGTGCTGGTTGGGGGAGGTAATTCTACATGTTTCGTAGCTGGGTTACTTCTACTTAGAGATTGTGTTCACACAACATGCCTAACTGTGTTTAATTAAAAGCACAGTGGCTGCATTATTTAATTTATTTATATTAAACAACTTACATGGCTTACAATAAAGTCTCTGGGTGGCATGCAAGAATTAAACCAAAAATAATTGGAACAACAATCCAAGTAACAAATGTCCAAGATTATGAAAAGCAATTCCAGCTTACAAAACACAACACTGGCCAGCGGAGCTCGCTTAACATTATTTGTACCATATACTAAGCTTAGTTAATTATAACACTGATTAGCTTTTGGAGGGTTTCTGATCTATGATCAGTTGGTTAATCTATGATTCAGCATACTGTGTGAACCCAGGAAATGGGTACATTCAGTAACCACTTCCCCTGACGTCTCTGTGAATGCAACTACAGAAAATCACAGGGGAACACTTCAGCAATTGTTAAGCAACCACCCATCACTTCCTGCTCTCTAGAGTTTACCAGAGTGCTCTGGCCCAGTGGTGCATTATGGTACACAACAGAGAGCCTGTATTGAACCAGATTTTGTAAAGCTCCCTGCCATGGACACCACAGCGAGACTGAAGCTTTGGCTTCTCAACTGCTAGAACCAACCCTCTCTCGGTCATTCCAGCAACTGTTTTTGCGGTCCCAAGAAAACTTTATTATAGTCCTTTCAGTATTATACATAATCTAGGAATTAAATTAGCACAGCTGGATAAAAATGCTAATGTCACCACCATCTGCTGATCCTATGGATTAATTGCCCTCCATCTTTAAGTATTATTTACAGCACAAGAGCATCTTACTAGGGTAGTCACCAATACAGACCAGTATAGTGTTGTAAGCTGTCCACATAAACTAGGGAGTTAGCTGTTACTACATGGGTCTGTTGGTCCAATGTCATGTGCTCCTTTTGCTTGATGCTTGGTGTTATGATACCCTCTAGTGACTAGCTAACATTATAACATTTTCTGGAGGCGTAGCCATGTTTATTTTTATTTATTATGTATTTCTAATTCATATCCCAAAGTACTGGTCTTCTGCAGCCAGTCAAACAAGAGCCTTATGATAGCTTGAAGATTAGTCTATTTTATCACTATGCGCATTTCTGTGGATTTCAATCCACTTCATCAGAGGCCGGGTCCGAAGTCGCAAGGGAGAGGATTCTGCGTACGCACAATTCTTTACAGGAAGCGGGGAGAAGGGGAAAAAGGGCGGGTGGGGAATTGGTGAAGGAGGTCGGAGGATGAGAAATAAAGTTG